TGGTCGGCCAACCTCCCACAGGTCTCCAAGGTGAGTTGGAAGCTTTCTGGAGCTTGGTGCAAAGTTCTGAGGACAATTGCAAACAAAGGCAAATTGGGGCATCGCGACGGATTTTCGAACGAGGCAATCGAGCATGTATCCAATCTTCTCCCTCTGAGAACCTCCTGTTTTACTACTTTATTTAGCTTCTTTACTTAGCTAGATTAGGCATTCATTTTATACTTTAATAGTTAATGCGTTTAGCTATTTCAATTTGTTTTATAATAATTAGTTAACTAGGATTAGTTAATTAGTTTGTTTTGTAATAATTAGTTTAATTAGCTTAGATTAAGTAGTTAGCTTCTTATTCGGTCCCTCCGTCAAGAGGGCCAACTATTGTAATAAGCATGCATGTGTGTGATGCTTGTCTTCCAACCCCCATTTCTTTCTCCTTTTTACTTAACCGCTTACGATGGTTAGTTTTAGCGCATATTTCATTTAGCATACCTTATGCTTGCATGCGTGCATCCATTCATCTGTATTGCATGCACCAGGCTCAGCGCATCATACTAACTACATTGTATTTCAATTCCTAGTTGAATACGTGTACCAAGTTGCATTCATATGCCATTCTAGATAGCCGAGCCTATCTTAGCTGCATTTTTGCATGTGTTGCATTAGCCATCTTAATATGAACTAGGATGATGCATGATTTCTAACTAGTTCTCTGTTTTGGCTCGAAGTACACTGTGAGTGTTTATGCTTTGGCATACTGCATATGTGTTAATGTTGCCATGAAAGCATGCTTGCCATGACGCTAACTGCTTATGTGATATAACTGCCTAAATGCCTGTGGGTGAAGGTTGGATTACTCGAATTGGAACAATTCATTGAATTCCGAATTTAGCCTACTTGCGAGTAGCAAACTTCAAACCATTCTCACAAACGAACATGCAATGTTTTGTTCCAAATTAGGCGATCTAGTCTATACTTGTATGTTGTGCGTATCACATAGTAATTCTAGGTTAATAACCGGAATAAGAACACGTGTTTTCAAAAACAAAATATCATGCTTAGTACAGGCCGATCTTTCCCCCAAAATAAAATATTTAGGTGGCAACTCTGTATCTGGCAAAGCAATCCATGTTTGACACTTCTTTATTAAAAATCAGTTTTCCAAAACAATTTGCCGGGTTTGGACTCTTTGGTGATTTATCGATCTTACATCGCACATTGTGAGATTAGATTCAGAACCGTCACATAAGTCCGAACTTGTAGTAGCTAGAGAGTAAGCGAGATTCGCACCTTCGCGCGCGGAGCTCGGGAGTCCTCAGGCACGTCTACAGTTTCTGGCGACTCTGCTGGGGACTTAGAGAACTTGACTCGAACTCATGATATCTTGTTTTGATTGCGCTTATGTGTCTCTTTGCATTGCATTTGTATTGGTGCGCCTAGGACACCGTGTTTGCCGTATGCTATTCCTGAATGATTTGCCGAAGGCTTGCTTTAAGAAGCATGCCATAAGGCTGACCGGTTGCGGGCTCTGCCACGACGGGAACATAAACTCCGGTTTTTATCGGGGCACCCTTTTGACCATTCGACCTAGTGCATATTCGAATCCATAATGACCATTCCAAGCTAGGACAGGTTGCTTACCCGATTGTAGGTTGTTTTGAAACCGCTGTGTGCGTAGTGAAACCCTAGCTCCTGACAAAAGGACAGGGAAACCCTACCCCAACATAGGGGTGTTTTGGCTCTCATTTGCTTGCTATGTGCTTTTAGAGTGTGTCTCTACAGGGAATGCATGTATCGGTTTGCAAGTCTGAGTATCAGGCCTGCGGGCATCAGTGTTTGAAGAATCAATTTTATCCGAGGATATTAGATTTGGGACAGCCATTTGGGCACAGTAAACAGTGTTTGAGAACAGTGTACTCAGCTTACAAGTGCTAACTGTGGGTTGTCAGGCCAACTGTGTGTTGTCTTTAATTTATTCAGCTCATAACATAGCACACTGCACGTTTTAGTTGTTTATTTCCTTATTATGCTTTATTTATCTTTTTGCAAGGTAGCTTAGCACTATTGCATCCGACCAAGCAGATATTCCCCGAGCACTCTGGGTTAGAGGTCGAAGACTTAATTGATCTGTGGATCTGATAGACGAATAACCAGTGTTCCATTCTTTACCCCCGGTTACTAGACGGAGGTCAGTAAGGCTCAGTACATCAGTACAGCGGTTGCCAAATCAGTGGTCAGTGAGTAGTCGGGTTGAGATTTCTGAGTCTACTGCAGACACAGATATACCAGTTGTTCGGCTAAATTAGTACAGCATGGCAGGCATGGAAAAAATGATGCGTCAGCTCCAGGAAAGTATGCAAACCATGCAGCAGGATGTTGCCCGTCAGGTAGAAGTGTCTGCACGTCAAGCCAAGGTAGTGACTCAACAGGCAGAGGTAATTGCCAGACTACAGTAGCAAACCGGGGCATCTGCTTCGCACACACCTCCTCCTCCACCCAGAGTTCCAATACTCAGGGAGACGCCAAATGTCCAGGAAAATACGGGCATTCCAACGGGGCCAGCTCTGCCCCCAATCCTACCCCAGCTATCCAAAACTCCCACTAACCTAGTGGATTCACCGTTTGAGTTTGAGGTGGATCCAATGGCGTTAAAAGTGAGCAAGCTAGAAAAGCTCTTCAAGAAGTCTCAAGGAGTTCATTCCATTCCGGATATAGAGGATGGATATACCGACTCGGCTGTGACGTTGCCGGACTGGTTTAAGATGTCGCACATAGACGGCTTTGATAGGTCTGGGGATCTTATGGTGCACTTGTGGCTGTTCTTGGATATACTAAGGCCGATGGGCCTTTCTAGATTGCAGAAGCTTTCTCTATTTGGCCGAACCCTGTCAGGTGTAGCGGCTATTTGGTATGCAAAACTGGAAGACTCTGTTAAAAGGAACGGGAGGAGATGGCTGAGGCCTTCATAGCTCAATACTCCTACAACACTCAGATCGAGGTCACAACTCGTGATCTCGAGACAACCAGGCAAGAGCTGAAGGAGAGTTTCTCCGATTTGTGACCTGCTGGAGGGCTAAAGCCTCGATGATGACCATCAAGCCCATTGATAAAGATCAGATATGGGTGGTTGTGCGCAACCTCCAACCCAAGCTCATGCAAAAGATGATCATCCTCCCCCTACCTACCTTTGCAGATTTACATGAGATTGGGGTGCAGATCGAGGATGCAATGAAATAAGGTCTGATTGATCCTAAAAGAGAGCAGCCCAGGAGGGCATTCAACCGCAATACGAATGCAGGCACAAGCAATGCTGCAGCTGCCAGATCTTTAGATGTAGGAATGGTCACCACCACCACTCCAAAAGCCTTTGCAGCTACACCCTTTACCAGTATGTCCAGAAGTAGCTCGCAAACAGGCAGATATGCCCCCCGAGGCCAAAGAACCTTCACCCCACTATACATGCCTTTGTCCAAGGCTTTGGGGATTTTAATCAAAAAAGGGCACTTAAAGCCCCAAGAGCCGCGACCCTTACCAGAAAAACTTCCTCCTTCCCATAACCCGGCGAAGTACTGCACCTATCACCAATAGCATGGTCATGAAACCGACCAGTGCTTTCGATTGCGTCATGAGATTCAAGATCTCATTGACAATAGGGTGATTATGCCTCCGGAGAAACCGAATGTCACAACCAACCCTCTCCCACCACATAACCAAGCTCCACCTCCCAAATGCATCAACCTAAAACAAAAAGGGGTTGTGTCATACGACCCTAGCATATATATCATCCCTTCTCACCTACCCAAGCTAGAGGTGTTCATTCTTGATAGCACTGACTTGTGCATGTTGGACATCTCCCAAACCCAACTAGAATCCGTGGTGGTGACTACCAAAGATAGAGCAGGGATCACTTTGGGAGTAGAGAAGAATGAGGATTCACAGCCTGAGGGATCTGCGAGTTTTGAGTACAACTCGAGCGGTTATATTACTTCAACAGATTAGTCTAGACCAAGAGTAGAGCTCTCGGTTGGGGTAGAGATCTGTGTAGTTCGAGAGGATGGACCTAATCAAGGGCTAGATGACCTAGCGGAACTCGAGGAGGATATCGTGTATCTACAATTCTTTGAAGAACAGGATTCAGGGGATGTGACTGTCAACTGGTTTGATCAGGAAGGGTCAGCAGAAGCTACTGGGTGGCTCAGCGACGAGCCGGATGTTGTTGAGCAATCTTAGCAAGAACAGGGTCCGTCAGAAATAGGGACATTAGCAGTGGCCGGAGTGGCCGAGGAATAGAGAGAACCGCCGGAAAACACCGGTGTTAAAAATTTTGCTCGGGATCAGAGCACTTTGAGTACAGAGGATACTGAACAGCAGGCTGCACTGAAACAGTTTGAACAGGAAACGTTTGAAGATCTGGAGAGGGCCAGGAAGGCCAAAGCCCTTGTGGGGACGGAATGTGTTGTGAGCACGAGAACGGAATGTGCTGTGTGTACAAGAATAGCTACAACAGAACCAGATAGCTGCTTGTCGATGTCCGACGGTATGTGGTGGAAAAATAACGACCTATGTCTTGCCCACACTGACGAAGACTGGGGGAATAACCAGCCGGATGATACCTGGTATATTCGGGAAATGGACCACATGACCAGGAGTGGGCGGTATTTCAAGCCCACACACCTGAATCAACCAGAGGCATCCGAGAAGGACAAGGAGGCAGAGAAGTAGAAAGAAAAGTTACTCGAAGAGGAGGCTGTGCTGAAACAGCTTAAAAAGATACAAGCAGACATCTCCATCTGAGGACTGCTTATGGCTTCAAGAGTTCATAGACGAGCTGTCCTTTCTGCGATGGATAGGGCTAAACTTTCAATTGACACCACGCCTGAGTAGCTGGTAAGATTGGTCTTTCCGAGAGGAGCTTCCCCGACGCTGACCTTCACTGACAAGGAGATGCTGCCTGAGGGCGCAAACCATAACAAACCTCTCTACATCTCTGTGGAATATAGAGATAAATGGATACCAGTAGTTCTTGTTGGCACGGGATCTACTATCAACGTGTGTCCGTTGAGGACGGCATATACAATCAGGTTGAAGCCCCCGGACTTTCTGCCTACTGCCCAGGTGATACGGGCATATGACAATACCAGCAGAGAAGCGATGGGGACTATGCAGATTCAGACTCAAGTTGGTCCGGGACAACAGAATATTGACTTTCATGTCTTGGACGTTCCCGCAACCTTCAACTTACTCTTAGGGCGGCCATGGCTGCACCAGGTGAAGGCAGTCTCTTCCACCCTGCATCAAATGCTGAAGTACCCCCACAGGAAGGGGGTGGCTATAGTTTTTGGGAATTCTTCAATCCATCCGCCGCCAGAGGTGCCTACACCGGTTCTGGAGATCGAACATGGTACGGACGATGTGTTTTTGTCTGGGTTCACCCTAGCTGAGGCTTGGGTTGTACAAAACATATTAGCTATTGACGAGGGGTTATATGTCAGTGCACAGTCTATGTACCTCATGAACAAACTACTGCATATCCCCGGGATGGGATTAGGGCGCAGTGGCCGGAAAGGCGTTGCAACATCGGCCGAAGTGCCGCATAACCCACATACCTTTGGTTTAGGTTATCTACCTACCAAGGAGGACTGGGTAAGGAAAGGCAAAGAGATGGCCGGAAGGGCTAGAGCCAAGCAAATCAGGAAACCTTATGAGTTGGTGCACCGGCCCATTCAGGGCACCCTGAACGGACACTTTGTCCGGGAGGGGGAAGACTTGCCATTTTGCGGCTTCCCAGAGCCATGGCTAAATGCAGAGAAGAGGCGCTTGCCGGGATTCGAGATTTTCTTTAAATTGCAATTGTCCGGGGATGATGTTGCCGAAGAGCAGAAAGACCCGATAGCTGAGGCTAAGCAGCACAAAGAGGAGGTTTCTGAGAGCGCAGAGTTTGGAATGGAGGTAGCGCTAGCTTGTCTACTCTTAGATCCTCAGATCGTACAAGAGTGCTTGGGGGATGACCTCTCAGTGTTCATGATTGGCAATGAAATGGCTGTGATCCCATCTTCAAACATTCTGGATGCATCCATTGCACCCTCCCTCGTCTGGCAATACGAGGAAGGCTTCTTATCGAGTAGCACCAGGTCAGGTAGTGAGCTGGAATATGATTCCACTGAGTCCGTAGAGTCAGAATCAGGTTCCAGCTCATCTGAGTCTGAGTCCGGTATTCTTGGGGGTGACAACCCGGATGCCATAGTCCTGTCTAGGTCGTCTTTTTCTTTTTCCTTTGAGTCTGTTGTAATAGAGGAATCAGGCAACTTGGAAGTGATTAATGAGAATTGTGTGGCTATGGCCTTCGAGTACTTTTCTGTGCCCTTAATTTATTGCATTAATCAGGACTTTCAAAATTTTGATGAAAACGACGAGGAAAAAATCCCTCCGGTTTTGAAATTTTTTCTTAATCAAGAGCAAGAGAGGTTTGTAAAACCCTTGGTTGATGAAATCACCACAACTAACGTTGGTACTGAGAAGGACCCGCGATTGGTCCAGATTGGGTCCACATTGTCTTCAGAGGAGCGCGAGCGCTTAGTCACTTTGTTAAAAGATTTCAAAGATGTTTTCGCGTGGTCCTATGAAGACATGCCTGGAATTGATCCTGAGATTGTACAGCACCAGATCCCTCTTGACCCAGAGGCCCAACCTGTTAAGCAGAAGCTCAGAAGGATCCGCCCTGACTGGGCTCTCAAGATCAAAGAAGAGGTCACCAAGCAAATTGACGCAGGGTTCCTGCTGGTATCCGAATACCCAACTTGGTTGGCCAATATAGTTCCAATGCCGAAGAAAGATGGCAGAATTCGGGTATGTGTGGACTTCAGGGATTTGAACAAAGCCAGTCCGAAGGACGACTTTCCTCTGCCGCATATTGACGAGTTAGTGCATTTTACTGCTGGGCATGCATTGCTCTCATTCATGGATGGGTTTTCAGGCTACAATCAGATATTGATGGCACCCGAAGACTAGGAGAAGACTGCTTTCACCACCCCGTGGGGAACCTATTGTTATAGGGTGATGTCGTTTGGGCTGAAGAACGCTGGGGCTACATATCAACAGGCTGTGACCACAATATTGCACGACATGATCCATAAAGAGGTGGAGGTGTACGTGGACGACATGATTGTCAAGTCCAAAGAGAGAGAGGGCCACTACACCGCCTTGCAGAAATTCATCCAATGGATCAGAGAGTATCGGTTGCTGCTGAATCCTCAGAAGTGTACGTTTGGTGTTACAGTAGGGAAAATGCTGGGGTTCTTGATTACATAGAGAGGTATCGAAGTCAACCCTTCCAAAATGAAGGCCATCTTAGAAATGCCACCATCGAGGACTGAAAAGGAGGTGCGAGGCTTTCTGGGTAAAGTGCAATTTATAAGACGATTTATTGCTAAATTAACCTTGACTTGTGAACCACTCTTTGGTCTCCTAAAGAAAGGAACGAAGTTCCAATGGGATGGCAGATGCCAAGCTGCTTTCGAACAGATCAAGCAATATTTACAAAACCCACCTGTGTTATCACCGCCTGAGCCAGGAAAACCGTTGATTCTGTATCTTCCAGTGACTGAAACTACAATGGGCTGCATGCTTGCACAAGAGTTCGAGGACAAAGTGGAGGAGGCCATCTACTATCTGAGCAAGAAAATGCTGGATTACGAGACCCGCTACACTCCGTTGGAGAAGGCTTGTTTGGCCTTGGTATGGGCTACCAGGAAGCTGCGGCACTACTTGTTAGCTCACTCTGTAATACTGGTTTCAAGATTAGATCCCATCAAATATCTCTTCGAGAAACCAGCGCTTACGGGTAGGCTAGCCCGTTGGTTTCTCCTGCTTTCTGAATTCGATCTGAAGTACGTGACGTGCAAGTCAGTGAAGCGGAGAACGGTAGCGAGGTTCCTAGCCAATCACCCAGTTGAAGGGGATGAAGCAGTTGACTACCTATTCCCAGACGAGGCCATTCTGCACATCGAAGAAGAAACTTGGACAATGTACTTTGACGGAGCGTCAAATCAATACGGGTATGGGATAGGAGTGTTGTTGATAGCACCCAACAATTCTCATATACCTCCAGCATTCAAGCTCCGGTTCAAAGTATTGAACAATGAGGCAGAGTATGAGGCATGTATTGTTGGACTAGAAGCTGCCCTAGAACTAGGGGCAAAATGATTGGATGTCATCGGGGACTCGAACTTTGTTGTATCTCAAGCTAAAGGAGATTGGAAAGTTAAAGAAGAAAAGATGAGAATCTATCACCAGACCTTGGACGTGCTGATTCCTCGGTTTGAGAAATTGAATTTTGCCCATCTGTTAAGAGAGAACAATAGGTTCGTTGATTCATTAGCAACTCTATCTTCTATGATAGACATTCCTTTTGGAGTCCGGATGCGTCCGATCATCATCGAACATAAATTTGTGCCGGCCTACGAGCTGATTGCTGCCATAGATAAGGTACAAGATAAGAATCCTTGGTATTCCGATGTCTGGAACTTCTTAGAAAAAGAGGCATATCCACCAGGGGCAAATGCTAAAGATAAGAGGGCAATTCGAAGAATGGCTACTCAGTTCATCGTCTGCGGGGGTAAACTGTACAAGAGAGGTCATCTCGGGATGTATAAGCTGTGTGTTGATGCTGAAGAATCCAAGCGCCTGATGTAGGCCATCCATGGAGGAGAGTGCGGAGCGTACATGAATGGGGTGATGCTAGCCCGGAAGATCCTTAGACAGGGTTATTATTGGTCCACCATGGAGGAGGATTGTATTTTCTTTGTCCGGTGATGCCACAAATGTCAGATCCATGCAAACCGCATAAACATTCCGCCATCGAAGCTATACAACATGATTTCGCCATGGCCGTTTTCAGTCTGGGGGATTGATGTAATCGGGGCTGTCACTCCGAAGGGGTCCAACAGGCATGAGTACATTCTGGTAGCGATAGACTACTTCACGAAGAGGGTTGAGGCCCAGTCTAATGCGGTGTTGAAGGCTTCGCATGTCTCCAAGTTCATTAAGAACAACATCATCTGTCGCTACGGAGTTCTGAATGAGATCATTTCAGATAATGGTTCCCACTTTAAGAAGGAGGTGATCGATTTGTTGGAGAAGTATAATGTGGCTTTTCATAAGTCATCCACATATCGGCCACAGACCAACGGAGCAGTAGAGGCCGCTAACAAAAACATCAAGCACATTCTGCAAAAGATGGTGGAAACCTACCGAGACTGGCCAATTAAGCTGCCATTTGCTTTATGGGGCTACCGGACTTTAATTCGAACTTCTACTGGGGCGACTCCGCATTCATTGGTTTATGGGATGGAGGTTGTTTTGCCTATCAAAGTTGAGGTTCCATCATTACGAGTATTGGCTGAGTGTCAGATAGCTGAGGCAGATTGGCAGCAAAGCAGGTTCGAAGAACTTATGCTCTTTGATGAAAGAAGGCTGAAAGCACTGTACCATGTTCAGGGTTATCAATGACGTATTGCCAGGGCTTTCAACAAGAAGGTTAAGTCCAGGAATTTGAAAGAAGGAGATCTAGTGCTCAAAGATAACCGAGCTTCCATCCACGACCTTAGGGGCAAGTTCAGACCCAATTGGACTGGTCTTTACATCATCAAGTCTGTCTGGTCAGGTGGAGCTGTCATTCTGATGGACCTAGATGGCCTAGAGTTCTCACAGCCGATCAATATGGACAAGTTGAAGAAATACTTTCCCTGAGTGGCTCGCTAAGCCAAAAACCCGAAAGGGCGACCTAGACAAAAGTTAGAGCACAGAAAATTTGAAATAATAAAAACTGAGCTCGCAAGGTTGAAAACCCAGAAAGGGAGGCCTTGGCAAAAGTTAGATCGCAATATGAGAGAGTTAATACACGAGTGAACCCAAGCCGAACTACGCAAGGCTTGATTCCCATCTTTGGGATACGTAGGCAAGTTCATTCTGAAGTCTAGCCATAAACACTTCCCCGATCAACTTTGTCCATGTGATCATGTTTGGTCATCTTTGTCTATTCTGCATTCAAGAGCTCGGTTTGTGATTTCCAATGTAGTGCTATTCAGACTAGGGGCAACTTCCCAGTTGCTGAGGATCCGGGGTTGTACATCTCAGTGATAGATCTCGGGTGTGTCCAGTGGTGGTCCATATCGAAAATGCTTTTGAAAAGTTTTAATAAAAGTTGGTTTTGCTCAAATTAATCTTTTTACAACTTAGACCATTTTTGGACCAAACGGAAAATTTTCAGTACCGACAACCTTCAAATTTCATTGGTTTCAGTATAGAGTTCTCCTACTCTTGAATACAAATTGAAGTAGCCTTTTATTACATTCATAAAGAAAACTTGAAAATACTTATTAAAGCAAATAAATTCGGGGCATAGTCAGGTGTTCCTGCGTTCCCTTCTAGAGCTGGTCGAAGTCTGTAATGCCAAAGTAGGCCCAACCTGCGCCTCCTTATCAAGCCAAGCTATGCACTCATGAGAGAGAGTGTGTAGACGTCCCCCGAACGCCCCTGGAGGAACGAGCCCCCCGTTCCGTTCGATATTGGGCTCACTACAGCTCAGGACTCTCAAATTGTCACGGTTCTAAGTCTGAACCAAAGAGTCCAAATCCGGCAAATCGTTTTGAGAAAACAGATTTTTGAAAGAAGTGCCAAACATGGACTGCTTTGCCAGATACAGAGTCGCCACCTAAATATTTTATTTTGGGAAATTTAGGAAACCCTGACTCGGTGCCAAAAGGCCACGTGTCCGTCATCACCAAAGTTGCATCGGCTCGGGAACTTGGGTACGATTAGGGAAGGTCACTTCGTGAGCACCCCCGCTCGCCCGGTCATAGACCGGCCTCTACTAACCATCAACCGTCCACTTTTATTCCTCGACGGGATGTGCCTAAAGGAACTTTGCTTGCAGCCACTGCCAAGGATGGCAACCAAGGTATGTATGTTTTATGTTACATTGTTGTAGCACACGTGCACACTTCAACGTCACCGCTGAAGGTCAAAAACCAAGTCTTGATTTACACTGGTTTAGTAGTTTTTTCGAAATTTGTGGGCCCAAACATGACATGTTCCCAATATGTTGTACTAATGTTAATTCACAGGATTATTCCCAGTTGCCTTTGCTGTTGTTGATGCCGAGAATGCATCTAATTGGGAGTGGTTTTTGCGTCAATTAGTCAAAGTTGTAGATGGTAGTAAGACGTTGACGTTTGTGTCTGATTGCAATGCCGGTTTACTCCACACGATGCCTATTGTCTTCCCGACAGCACACTACGCATTCTGTTTGTTACATCTTCAAACGAACTTGAGAGATCGTATGAAATACGTAAACGCTGAACGAAAACTCGGGCTTACACGCAAGTTACGAGAATGTACCTATGCACCCGTAGTGGTTTCATTCAACCACAACATTGAGCTATTGAAACAATGTAACCCAACTGTTGTTGGTAATTTTTAAAAGATTTGCATCCACAACATTGGTCAAATGCACATTTCAAGTAATGTTTCGTAACGACCCCTTGCACAAATTTTTTCATTGAATATTGTCTTCGTACACCAATAGCATTTTTCTACATTTTGCCAGGGGTCGGAGATATAGTGACATGTGCTCCAATGCTACCGAATCATTCAACAACTGTGTTCAGAAAGCTCGGCATCGACCCATTACTCAGTTGGTGGATGGGATTAAGGGCCAAATCATGGAGCAGAGGTCTAAACGTAAAGTTAAATCCAGTGTTTGGGTCGGGGAGCTTTGCCTGAAGATGGCAAAGGTTTTGGAATCGGCGTACAATGACAGTAGGTCGTGGATTATTCGTCAGTTCAAGGACAATGTGTTTGAGGTTCGTTCACACCTATCAGTGTTGGTCGATTTTAGGGCATGTACATGTTCATGTTTCCAATGGCAATTAAGTAGATTCCCATGCTCGTATGCGGCTGTAGCTTTCCAAAATAGTAGTAAGAACATATATGACTTCATTGATTCATTTTACTATGTGCACGAGTTTAGGGCGGCGTATTCTGGGGCTAATCACCCAATTCCTACAATAAGGAAACCAAATTTGGCAACAATGGATTATCTCATCGCACCACCTATTTTTAAACGCCCACCTAGAAGGTCCAAACAGAAATGGGTGTTGTCCAAAGGTGAGGTGGTTCAACGGATTCAATACGGCCGTTGCGGTAAAATGGGTCATCATAATAGGAAAACATGTGAGGAACCAATGTAGCGTGGTGGACATGTATGGCGGTTCTACTTCGCTGCCAAACTATCATAGCTAAAGAAGCAAGGCAGCCCCAAAATAAGCATTTTTACAGTTCAAAGCATGGCTAAACAGTAAGCACAAGTGGGACTAAATTATCATACAAAAATGGCTCCGCAAGGGAGGCAATGAAGCAAGTGGTAGATGAAAAGCCCAAAAAAAAAAAGACTCTTCTACAACACTGAAGAGGGACAAAAAATATGACTATTTGCAGTTTATGGAAACCCCCAAAACAATATACAAGTATGTTCAAAATGCCACGCAAGGTAGGGCCCAAAAGAGGTCAAAACACAAAGTATACAAAAAATTCATCAAAAAGCCAAAGACCCTTAATGAAACATGACAAGGGGGTCAAAATATGGCCACTTTCAGTTCGGACCAAGGTCCAAAAACAGAAGAAAAATAGGCTAAAAAAACATGCAAAATGAGGCAAAAACATGGATTTCAAAGCAAGTAGCATATGGGGTATCTAAACAGTGATGAGCCCTTCTTCAATGTTGAATAAGGGCTCAAAATAAGCTCACTTACAGTTTATGACATGCCCCAAAACAGATTACACATAGGCCAAAAATAACATGCAAGATTAGGGCCTAAAGGATAGATAAAGAAGGAAGTGCAAGATGGGGACCTCTAATGAAAAAATTCCCTTAATGAATCATAAAATAGAGCTTAAATAAAGGGTACTTTCAGTTTTGGTCGGAGCTCAAAACAGCAAGCAAAATAGCTAGAAAAATGTTGCAAAATTAAGCTCAAAAAGAGGGAATTGGCATTTACTCTTGAAGACCTACCCTTGGTTGCTTCTTGGCTTGAGAAGTGATGCCTCCTAGCTGCTGGAAAGCTCCCCAAGTTGCTGGAAATGGAGTAGTGGTGGTGATGCTAGGTAGTGGTGAAGGAATGGTGCAAGGAACTTGGATGCTTGAGCTTGAAAGAGAGAGATGGAGGGAGATGTGTATACAAGGCTTAAGGAAAATTTTTTCAACCCCCAAACTGGCAGCTGGGGCTGCTGTTATAAAGGCAAAAAGGGGGGAAAAATGGGGGGAAAACCAACCAAGTTTCCCTCCAAAATGGCAACCCCCTCCCGGATACCAAATCCGGGGAAAATGAATACATATTTGCAATGTACCAACCCTGAGGATCATGGCCGGCCAGTTATCCAAGCTGCAGGTGGCCGGCCAGCTACCTCCTATGGCCAGCCGGCCAAGGGTCAAAACGGTCAATGAGAATTAGTGGCCGACCATATGATATTGGTGGCCTCCCATGTGTGCACAACACAACCATGAGGTCAAAAACTGGAGAAAGTGAACCAGGAGAGAGAAAAGCCCACTTTTTGGAGGGGTTCAAAAGGGTCAATCAACATTAGTGGCCGACCATATGATATTGGTGGCCTCCCATGTGTGCACAACACATATATGTGGTTTTGGGTGCAAGAAAATGGTCTAAGGGTGTTCAACATTGGCTTTGAAGTGAAGAAAATCGGGCGACGGAGGGCGATGAAGGGATAAAGTTGGCTGACAGAACAATTACTGGCCTCCCACCCTTCTACGGCCTTCCTAATGATGAAACAGAGGTCCCTGCCAAAAATGAACCAAAACCGATGCAAAATGAAGGTTCGGGGGCCGAAACGCGCAGTCTAGGGCCCCGAAAACTGACTGTTGGGCACCGGGAGTGGTGTTCGACCACGAAGTTGGTCTCTCAGACCGCAGTGTCCCTCAAAAGGGAGCAAATAAGATGTATGCCAAAAACCGGGGCAAACGGAGGTGGTTAGGCGGTCCCGAACCGAGGCACACGGCCAACGACTCCGAAAAATCGGAAACCGGGCTCCAAACGGGCAAAACGGCCTACGACCACAAAACGTAGCCTACGGCCACTGAGATATGGTCTACGAGACCTCTGCCTCCATTCACGATGAGAAAACGGAAAAAACCGAGCCTGGTTCGCAATCCGAGGCAAAGCACAAAAGAGTCCGGAAGTCCAGAGGCAAGGCTCGCAGCCGAGACTCTGAAACCTCTGAACGAGCACGATATGCAACATCACCAAGCACTCAATCGGTGACGTTTGAGTCTTAAGGTCGGTCAAAAATGGGGTGTCTACAGAGTGCAACTGAAAGTGAGAGCGGGGGCCAGAAGCTCTCTCGTCCTCCATGCCGTGGCATACCGAGCTAGCTGAGCGCCTCGGACTGAAAATGCAGCAGGGTACCCTATCCCTTCCTCCGGGCAAGTCTGATCATGTCCAAGCTGACGCCGGATTCGAAACGAAAAGTAAAGGACACAGTGTGTCAGACCGATCAACAGAATCCCAGGCTGGCAAGTCATGTTGTAGCTCATCGCCGGTAGATTAAGCCAGGGGCAGCGCCAAGCAATGTCAAGAGCAGTCAAACTGCTCATCCATTCGTACCACCATCCCTCATCAGGGGCATCGACTAGACATCGCCGGAAGAAATAGCTGCGAGCTAAATATGCTAGGCATGAGTCCATAACCCTCAATTTATCCATCAACCATATCTGGGAAGGGATGAAAAATGAGAGATTAAAGAATAGAGAGATGTATGTGGAAAGAAAAGTGAGAAAAAGGTTTTGAGAGAAAAACCGAGCCTGAGGGCCGAGTGATGTGAGAAATATATGTGAGATAGGATGGGAAACATTACCTGCAGCAGTAGTGGACTCCCAGCGAATCTAGCCGTCTCTCGACAATGGAAAGCGTCCAAACCCATCAATGTCTCAGCTAGCATCATGGCGATGCAGCTCTTGCCCTCTTTCAAGCCTTCGGCTACCTTAATCAAACGGGCGCTAAACCCACCGGAGCCTGGGGCAAGCAAGAAATGTGACAACATACACAAGCAAAGTGCATGTCGCCGGAAACCCTGCCAGTCATGGTCGCCGCGGTCGCCGACATTAGAAAACCGTTGAACCAAGCTCGGAATATCCAGTACTCCGTCGCGAGTTAATGATCGAGCGTCATGCAAAGTGAGCCTGTACGTGCGTCCTAAGGCTTGGACGTGGCCAAACGGAATTGTGGCAAAATCTCTTCCTCGCGCTCGGACTCCATCAGAGCTTGAAAGTCTTCGAAAGTAGGACATATCTCTTGTCCGCCAAAGCTAAAGACGTGAGTTACCGGATTCCAAAACCTTGCCGCGACATAAAGGAATGGAAGACGCAGCGGGGTGTGACTCAGCGTGAATAGTGCATTTATGCCGAAGCCCCAAAAATTCACCTTTTCCAAGCCATCCAAGGTAGCAATCCAATTTGTGAGATTTTGGACAAGAAATGCCTTCATTTTGGTGCAAAACTGAGTTAGAATGAGGGAACCACGAAGCTGGAACCTTTATGAAGGATAAGGCACTGTTTGGAGGACAAGTGTCAGAAAACTGGAAGTCCCCAGGCTAACTGGTCAGCCAACCACTTTTTCTAGTCGGCCAACCAGTTTTTCTGGTCAGCCGGCTACTTTTCTGGTCTCCAGGTCAAGAAAGTGGTCGGCCAGCCACTTTTGGTGGTTGGTCATGGAGCAAAAGTTGTTTACAGCCTTTTCCTTGCCTCCAGAAGAGAGTCTCTAGCTTTCCTGTGTGCGGAGAGTGCTGAAGGTCCGAGTTTACCTCTGTTTTGGATGCATTCCGTTGCCTTGTTTGTCTAAAATGCATTTGATTATCGAGTTGTTGCTCATTTGTTTATCGAGTTGTTGCTCATTCGTTTATCGAGTTGTTGCTTTTTGTTTATCGAGTTGTTGCTTTTTGTTTATCGAGTTGTTGCTCTTTATTTATCGAGTTGTTACTCTTCACTTATCAAGTTGTAAACTTGTTAAAGTCTTGTTGTTGTTTTTAGGATTGAGTCGTTTTGTTGCGTTGGTTCATTACCTAACTTGGCAATGCACGATGTCAAATTCCATTCGATCCATTTTTTTGTGCAAAATGATGCGATGCGATGCTTAGAATACAAATACAACACCTTTTGAATGAAAAGCCATTTTCATTCCATCATGTTTCCTTTTTACAACATTTTACAACAGCGTACAAGTTTTGAAGAAAATAAAACAGTCTAAGCTGTACAATGTGCTACAACTACATGTAAAAAGAAAAATAAAGCAGGAACATCTGCATCAGTGCTATCAAGCTCAAGACCGAGAGGCCCTCTTCACCCTCTTCGGCTGAGCAGCCTCTGCACCACCGCCACTGACACCATCACCATCACCTGAATCGGAGTCACTGTCCTCCGAATCCTCCTCGATGTCACCTCCACCCTCAGAACTGGAACCAGAGTCGTCATCCCTGCCTGTAGATGTCTCTGACTGTGGATGTGATGACTCCTCCTCCTCGCTAGACTCATCATCCTGTCTAATAGGTGCTCTGCGTCCCCCCAGGCCACGCGCTGAGACTCCTCTCCTAGCCGCTCGAGAAGGCCTAGCTGGCCCAGTCTGTAGACATGGGACCTGAAAAGGACAGTTTGATCCAAGGTAGCAATCCAATTTGTGAGATTTTGGACAAGAAATGCCTTCATTTTGGTGCAAAACTGAGTTAGAATGAGGGAACCACGAAGCTGGAACCTTTATGAAGGATAAGGCACTGTTTGGAGGACAAGTGTCAGAAAACTGGAAGTCCCCAGGCTAACTGGTCAGCCAACCACTTTTTCTAGTCGGCCAACCAGTTTTTCTGGTCAGCCGGCTACTTTTCTGGTCTCCAGGTCAAGAAAGTGGTCGGCTAGCCACTTTTGGTGGTTGGTCATGGAGCAAAAGTTGTCTACAGCCTTTTCCTTGCCTCTAGAAGAGAGTCTCTAGCTTTCCTGTGTGCGGAGAGTGCTGAAGGTCCGAGTTTACCTCTGTTTTGGATGCATTCCGTTGCCTTGTTTGTCTAAAATGCATTTAATTATCGAGTTGTTGCTCATTTGTTTATCGAGTTGTTGCTCATTCGTTTATCGAGTTGTTGCTTTTTGTTTATCGAGTTGTTGCTCTTTATTTATCGAGTTGTTACTCTTCGCTTA